AGAGCCGGGTAGGAGACTAGCACAGTACAGTGACCCCGGGAAGCGGGAGAGGAGCCGCTGGGGCCAGAACAAGGGGTTGAGGCGCGCTGGCCATGGGCCGAGCAGGGAGCCAGCTTCCAAGGTCAAGGCTGGGCGTGGAGGAGGGCGTAGTTCCTCTCGGTATAAATAAGGACAGGGGCTTCTCTGTAAGGGGTCAGAGGGGCCAACGGCCTTCGCCCCTCCATGAGGCAGAGCTGCAGAACTCCTCCTCAGTTGAGTCTGGAGGAGTACACGCAACCGTGTCCTCGACGCTCAGCACAGTCCTAGGCCCAGTAGGTCCTCTACACATGGCCACAGCCAGCAGGAGAGTAAAGGAGGGACACTGGCCTCATTGTTACCTGGGGACGCCCGCAGAAAGCCGCTCAACCACCTCAGTTCCTTCCAATCTAAAATTCGAAGTTGCCCACACGACTTTTCACCGCGGCCACCCCTCAGCTCAAATCACTCAGCAGCTCCAGGCCTTACGTGGGCCTGGAGCCCACCACCTCCCGGCACTGTCAGCAGCCCCTTCTGCCATTAACAAAAAGGGAAAGTCACACGAATTATGGAGTAAGACTAAGCCCCCGGGTGCGATACTTCAAACACCAGGGCTCCAGCCAGGGGAGAGGAGAGCAAGGCCCCTCTCTTCATCTGCCTTTCGGCCAAATCCTCACGAGCTCTCGGTATAGTTAGTCCAGTTTCTAAGCCTATCCCCATTAGTAAGTTCTTTCTGGTGCCAGAGCTCCCAGAACTAACACTGGGGGTCGTGGGCCCCAGTGCGTGACCATTTCTTTGGGCTGGGCCTTCCGAAAAGTGGGTGAGGTTCTCATTGAAACTCTGGCCTGCTAGCCCATCTTGGAGCTGAGAGATGAAGGACGCCTTTCTGGCTGCTGTGAGTGGAGGCGTGTCAGTTTCCATTCCTGCGCCAGAAGGGAAGCCATGAGGGGCTGTCCCAGGAGGTCCGGGTAGCCATCGGGCCTGGCAGGAGCCTGCCGCCAGGCTGTTACCAGGCTCCGCAGGAGGCTCGGAGGACGGAGGGACAAACAAGAACCACACGCGTTAGAAAGCTTCACAACATTATGCATTTATTGTATTTTATAGAGCCATGTTACACATGCGTGGTGCTTCAAACGGAGTTATCGGTAAGTGTTTCTCTGGATGCAAAGCCATCTGATGCTTGATGCCTTAAATACTATAATATTTCTGCATCTATGACCTATGAGCTAAGGAAAAACCAAGGACGACAATTCCAGAAATGGCAAAGAACATTTAAGAAAAGATGTACATGAGACACAATGCTAAGTCCTTGAGTCAGGGCCTACAGAAGTTACCAGAAAGTGAATAAAAACAGAATTGTTCTATGAAAATGGCTTGACCAATCACCATCTGCAGATCACAGAGCCTCACAACAGTTACGGATGTTGTAGAAAAAGGTTATTCTGTTTGGTACTGATGCCCTCTCCCCTCTGCTCTGTGTGCGGACACTGTGCGGCCGACAGAACACAGCATGGCAGCCGCCCCTTCCCCACCACATCCCGACGCTGTTTCTTATGGCGTCTGAATGTCCTGGAGGAAAAGCAATTGGATCCAACTTGCCACTTGGTGGAAAATCACTGGGACTCAGAAGAACGTGGCACCACCACACACTGGCCCACGGCAGACTCCCAGGACGCTGGTCAGAAATGGCAAAGCAGGGTGACCGGCCCGCGGTGAGCGAGATTCGCCTGCTGCCCTACACTAACAGCCATGTTCACCGTCAGCATTCCCTTCCCGTGTTGATAAGGGGAATGGAGAAGGTGCGTCGACAGTAGGCCACCCACCCCTCCCACATCTCCACAGGGTCCCAGCTTAAACGTCTCCTCCAGCACCCTGCTGACCGCTCCGCCCAGGAGAGGACACCAGTAGCCTTCCAGCCAGGGATACCCGACTTGTGCAGGGGCCAGCCTCCTTCTAGAAGCCCGATGCCGCTGCTCTAACGGGCCTGCACTCACACTGACTTCACGCAACCAGGGAACCTGAGCCCAACATGGGCAGTAACCAAGCTGGCCAAGGCCAGTAAGCGCGGGCGCAGGAGACCTAGCCAGACATTCAACTGCGTCTGCGCACGTGAGAGGGATTCTGAAGGACCTTCTGGCAAGTCCAAGTGCCGGCCACGGCATGCATGACAGGAGCTGCAAGGAAGCAGAGCTTGGAGTCCGGGTGGCACCCACCGGCCATGGCCTGCTGGACTTCCACTAATGCCAACGGGAGCTGGGACACGGGCTACCACGTCAGACAAGCGTCCGGGTCTGAGGCCATTCGACAACGGGCGGGCGGCCGGCTGCCACAGGCCAGCGGAGCAGCCAAGGAGGAAGCCTCTGGGTGGACCGGCGCGCGGAGGGACGCCTGTCAGCAGCTTTCCGCTCCCCCGCTATACTGACCTCTCGGGATCCTCGCTCTTGCTGGTGGTCAAGATGTCCAGAAAACAGAAGGAACTTCAGGAATCCAAGATTCGAAACACGGCTTTCCTGAGCCCTGCCAATCCCAGGCCACAAAGGAGTCAGACAAGGAGCCATCAATTCTCTCTACCTGCGGCGCGGGTGGTCGTCTCCCACTCAGCAACTCGGGGGCGGCCAGGTGTCCCGGCGCCACGGACACACACTGTGAGGTGCGCGAGGACGGCCAGGTTTGGCTGGGCGGGGCGGGGGCGGCAGCAAGCCCCCCACCCCCATCCGATGCACTGCGGCGACCACTCGGGCGGCCCGAGGGGTCTCTGGGTTCTTGCTGAACGGAAGTGACTCTACCTGTGAAGAAACCATCTAGAACGCTGCTTGGCAACAGTGGCGGGCACCGAGATTCTATTCTGTCAAAGGGCCTCGCCTGACACAAATTCAGCAAAGTAAGTGACATTTAAAAGAACCCGCACGTGAAAACCAAACAGGGGGGAAAAGTCTTGATTTTCCTCAAATCCTCAGGCCTCGAATCTAGGCACAGCACACAAACACCATATGAAACCAACAGCGTGAGTTCAATGTCACCTTGGAAAATAAATGTCACTCTGGGGTGACAGTTCTTTATACAAATATTATGCTTCCCCCTAAATCCCCGCTACCAAAAAAGGGGGGAAAATCATAAGAAATCCAAAAATAGAAAACAACATCTTGTTAAATGTAAACTTATCCTCTGGAGCTTTTATATTACATATGCTAGAAACATGCATTTATTTCAGTTCAGGTGTAAGAAAATATGTCTATCAGTATTACTTACAAATCCGGTTAATTCTCCAGACAAGGGACTCACTGTTAGACCACTTCAAACTGCAGTAAATTACATCTTTAGCAAAATTATAAATTCTAACCACAAGCACGACGGGCTTCGGTTACAGCCAGCGAGGACAATGGCTCTCCTTCCACTGCCTCTCCCCGAGGAGCTTCCTACACTAACGGGAACTGAGAGCGCCCCGCCACCGCCTTCAAACCCCCACTTCAACTCCTGTCAGAGATGAACTCTGCAGACCGTGAGAGAAAGACACACAGACAAAGGGGCCGGGGGAGCGATGGCTATTCCCCTCAGAGACAGAAGGGCTGGAAGAGATGACCGGGGCATCCCCCAAGGGATCAAGGCACAGAGGAAGGGGGGACCTTGCTCGCACGGGAGCCTGGCTTCTCTGTAGGTCTCAGCGTGGCTCAGGGTGGGGGCTCCTGGTGACACCTCCCCACGGCCAAGCTGGCCTGGCCGTGGGCCCCAGGGCGGGAGTCCTGGAGACAGCGCCGGGCCCAGGCTCCCATGTGGCAGTGCTGGGCGAGGACGGCGTGGCGCCGGACTGCTAATGCGGCCACCGCCCCAAGACTGCTCCCCTGATGGTGGAGAGGGGGCGTGGGGGCGCTTACACCACGGGCCTCGGTGGAGGCCTCAGCCCCAGGTCTGCTCAGAGAACCTCATGTTGGCACTGGGGCACGCAGCTTCGAAGGGGACCTCCGCCACCGGCTTACCTGTCTCCTGACTGCCAGATACAGCAAAGCCGGGCTTATCCCGAGAACAGCGGGGGTCTTCTGATTAACTCAGTTCCATCAAACTACCCAAGGGGTACCAGATTCTGAATGAGTGAGAGAAAGTGTCTCGAGTTAAATTCGTCATTTAGGATTCAGAAGGCACTTCAAAATTCTGGAGAGCCCCAGGGTCACTGTTACTAGGTCACCAACTGATGGAGAAACTGTAAGACAGGGAGGGCCGCGATTCTGACCTGACGGGTGTCCTGGACATCTGGTACGCAGACCTCACACCGCAGCCAGCTCGCCAGTGACCTCGCGGAGTCAAGTGTGCGGCACACACGGCATGTTTGCGTTTGGAATAAATGTGATTTTTGCTGTATCATGGCAGTTTATAAAATAGTCTCGCGAGTCATTCTCGACTCGAAGTAAAATGCAAAAATTATAATCGGACGCTTAGGAGGTCACAACGTGAGAGGTAAAGTACTCACTGAGTACGGTATTCACCATCCAATCACCCTGCCGGCCTGCGCTCGGTGGCCGGGGAGAAGCCGGGAAAGGAAGCCACCGGCGCACAACTGCCACCTGGGCCCGCCCTGAGAGACTTCGCTGGACGGAGGAACCAAGGCTCTCCTAGGACAGCCAAGAACCCGAAGTGCTTCCCGCCAGACCAGCCAAGGACCTGCTGGGGCCGCCCTGAAGGCAGTCCGCGCCGGCAGGTGCCCTCGGGTCTCCCCTCTGCTCGCGCCCCGTCCCGGGGACCGCTTACCTTGAGCGCACGCCCACGGGCCGGGGCGCAACTGCTCCAGTCACTCTCTTGCTGGGGGTCGGAGGGGGGTGGGGAGGCTAAAATCAAAATCCTACCACCAACGGGGCCCGGTTTGGGGTACTCTGAGGTAGTTCCTTAACTCGGGGTGCCTGTCACCTACTCTCTCCCAGAACTCAGCACGCGTGGGAAGTCCTGCAACCTCCACACACCGCTGCCACCACAAGTCACTGTCGTTGAGTGCAAAATAAAGGAAACTTGAGTTGCTTTATTTAGCTTCCAATTTCTGGGAGGCTCAAGAATTATAATTCTGCTGGACAACAAAAGGAAATAAGACTGTGCTTACAGATCTTTTTCTGCCGTATTCTTTCTGTAGGATTGCTGTTTTATTGTTGCCCTTTTCTGTTACATGGGGTGTACACATCAGGTGGTAAAAGGTACAATACATTCTACAGCTGAGCACCACTTTCTGTAACTGAACAGGCAAAGAAATTACACTGAACATCAGCATCTGGCAGTATTTTTCGGAAAAAAAAAAAGTGACTAAAATGGGTTTAAATTGATTAACACTATTAAATCACATCTAATATTTGATACTACATGATTCAATACAGCTATACGATACAATTATACAAAATGTGTTAACATCAAAGAATACAACCAAAATTAAGATAGCAAACAAAACCTATATAACTTTTTTTTACAGGAAAATACTTTTGAAGTATGCATGTAACTGCCCATTCTTTTAAAGAAAATCTACTGCAAGCAAAGTTATCAACCTCCAGAAAAATCACACATAGCATTACTAAGCATATCCCCAAAAAGTGTACAATATGCACACTTGGAAAATACAAAATTAAAAAAATTGTAAGCAACAGGTGAGCTTCATATTTATAAGAATGTGAAAAGAAGTCCCATTTTTAGCACTGTTGTATAAAGAATTGTCTTTTGATGCGAAGTTCATGAACTGTCCTCCTGTTGGGACCACACTTTACAAAAACACCGTGTTTTTGAAACGAGATTACAGAGCAAGATAGAGCATCTTAGCAATGTCATCTTATTAAAGTTTTTTTTTTTTAATTTTTACTACTTTATCAAAACATGTCCCTTAGGTGTGTAGGATTCATTTTTTAAAATTCTTTCCTAGAAACAATATACAAAGGAGAGGCATATTTATTCCCAATCACACTCCTGGAAGATGCTCCCCGGGGTCGAGAAGGGTCTTCTCCGTCTTCTTCTCACTGGTTGTTTTTGGCCTTAGCGTGTGTTAAGATGTGAGATTTCAGGTTAGTTGACTGCGCAAACTTCTTATTACAGCCGTCGAAGGGGCACACATAGGGCCTGTCTCCGGTATGGATTCGCACGTGCGTGCGCAAATTGAAGTCCAGTGAAAAGCGTTTCCCGCAGCCTTCGAATGTGCACTGTCGAGGAGAGACAGAGACAACCCAACTCAGCGACCGTGACCGAGCCGAGAGGGCGGGCAGCGGGCGCCGGAGAACAGCCGGCCTGGCTCGCCGCGCACCTCGTGCCCCCGGCTCCGGGCACACGCGCCAGTCCCACCCCAGGACAAGCGGGTGCGGAGCTCTAACTCTGCACGCGGGATCTCTCCGAAACCCAGGCGCAGCCCTCACTGCTGAAATACGGGGTAAGAGAAGCGCTTGCTAAAACAAGCACCCAGAACCTTCCCGGCTCAGGTTAAGGTCTCAGCACTGTGCCGGTGCTCCACGGTAATAAAATACAGCAGATCAGGAAGGTTTCTGGTGTCAAGTAGCCGAAAGAGCCTGTGACACGGGAGCTGCCCCGCCCGTCCGTCCGCGGTGACGGTTTCTAAAACAAGAGGAAGGTCACTGCGCTGACTCCCCACAGTACGGCTGTGGGACTCCCCGTCAATGAGTGATCCGGTGCCTTCCATCAACTATGGAAGACAAACTGCTTCCACCCCACAGTGAATGCACTGGAAATGCAGTTTCAGGCTTGCTCTTGAGCAATCCAGTTTTTCTGCTGATATGAAGTACACCCCCTTGACACCCCGATACACCCTGTGCCCCCCTCCAGGACCAGAGCGGCTGCACACCAGAAAGGCAAGCGCCAGGGCAGCCCTTCCGGGCCCTCCAACGGGACACCGCTTCGGTTCCTCCCTTAAGGAGCGCCGAGGGCCCCCCTGGGGTCTCCGGGTGTCCGTCTCCCCAGGGCCCGCAGCCCCGCCTCCACTTGCCAGCTGTGTGGGGAGGGGGAAGGGACCAGCTCTACCTGAAAGGGTTTCTCTCCAGTATGAACCAGTTGGTGTCGTTTTAGTTTCGAGCTCTCAACAAAAGCTTTGCCACACTCTGCACAGACGTGGACTCGGGGGCCGTGGGTGTGCAGGTGCTTCCGCATGGCAGAGTTGTCCCTGAACATCTTCGTGCAGCCCTTCGGACAGAGAGAGCAGCTCAGCGGTTCGCACTGCGAACTGTTACGCGAAGGACCCAACCACGGAAAACAGCCTTCACCGACCCAAGAACGAAACCACCCCTGACCCCCACTTCCATTACTCAGCAGCACAGTAGAAATATTAAATGACTTAAGACAAAACCCAGACAGCTGGAAAAGACCTTCCCGTTAAATGCAAGCCCTTGTGTTACAGACCAGGAAACTGAGGCTCAGAGATGTCTTTAAGTAGACTTGCCCAAGGTCACACTGCTCAGAGGAGCCGAGCTGGGACTAGAACCCAGCAGCCTGGCTTCCAGCCACACCACAGCTGCCTCAGCCAACTCTGTCCCCAGACCAAGTACCAGAAGCCCTGGCAAACAACGGGGCTGAAATGACAGCAGTCCACCACCGCCTTTGGTGGGCCCCATATTCTGTGCCACAAGAGTGGGCTGTCACTCTCCATCGCATACTATTCCCTCTTCTTTCTTTGCCTCTTTCCCCTTGACAGAGAAAGAAGAGGGTCTCCAAGGAATGGCAACTACAGAAGAAACTGATTTTGTGAGACACTAGGAAAAGCAGCAGCACATGGACACTGGAGCGGGAGAGGGTTGGACGGGCGTGGGGCTCTCGGGACAGGCACGGCCTTCCCAATTTCCTCTGCAGCTGTTGTCCAGGGAGGAGCGGGTGGGGGACGAGCGGACAGCACAAGAGGAGGAGAGTTTCACAGGCACGAGGGAGGGGGAAGCTGCGGCTTTGGCACCTTGACCCCCAGGATGTGTTTCCATTTAGCAAATGGAATTCTTTTAAAAATGTAATCTGGAAGTACAAGGAGAAGCTAGAAGGAGCACAGGCACTTAGGGCCTAACTGTTTTCAAATGCTTCTTTACGTGTTGGCCCCCAGAGGAACTCATTTTATAACTCAAAATCGCTACACTAAGCGTGTCGAAAAACCACACAAAGAACCGTCATTCGACGGACATCGCCAAATGAAAACTCATCCTTCCTCAATTACTGATTTTCAAAAATTCTTTATCCCATGAAAACTCTCTGCCCACCTACGTGATACTTCTTTTTCTGTTAGTTTTATATCCATCCAATTAAGTGTGAAACAGACCCAACCAAAAATTCCAAGTACTTTTTAGGTGATCGTTTTCTTCGAAAGACTGACCGCATTTGAAAACAATTAGGCACCCCTGTAAGTAACACGGAGTTAACAGGGCAAATGAAGAAAATCGTGAAGGGAATGTAGTTTTATGAGGCTTACTTTAGCAGCATCCAAATACTTTCCAAATTTTCATAGTTTAGAGCCCCACAAAGGTCCACGGGTGAGACAAAACCCAATGTCTTAAGACTGACTTGTTCATCATCCAAAAAGAAGAAATAAAACCCTAACATTGTGTTTTCGATATACAGTAAGAGCAAAAACACTGGCGCCCTACAGCAGCCCCATTTTACAGTATTCAAATTTAAGTGGCCTTTACTGAACAAAACTTACATCACATATATAGCCTCTTGAATTTCAAAAACAAAGATTATAGTTCCTCATTTAATTATTCGATGGAAGTAACAGTGCAGATTGATTATGGGCTCTCTACATCTTCATCGGCGTCTAGCGAGCACTCCCCTAGCATTACTTACTTTATGAGGACAAGCTATTGTTCTTGGAGCGTCATCTTCTTTAATTTTTCTTGGCTTCATTCTTACCAAAAAGAAAAAAAAAAAAAAAAAAAAAAGAAAAGAGAGAGAAAGAGAGATTTGTAGGAGTGGGTAGACTCATCTGGCATCAATCATATAGTCCCTAAAATGTTCTCCTTACAGATACAAACATCTACGGTTACAGTTTGTGTCCAGGAAGGAAGGGATGCGACCGACCACATTTGCTGAGTGCCCGTGACTGGAGCGCACCCGCCCCGGCTCACAGATGTGGGTGCTGGTGCTCCCAAAGCCCGAGTCGCAGCCATGGTCTCGCAGGGAGCGAGATGGGGCAGCTCAGACCGGAACTGAGGTCTGCGAGCTTCGTGTATCTGCTCTTTCCTCTAAGCCCTTTAAATAACACAAGACCACCAGCCCAAACCACAGAGGAGTCTCTTAGTGGGAGCAGAGCAAGGTGTCCACGAGCAGCTGCTGTGATAACAAAGACACCTTGTGAAAAGGGAGCAGCAGATGGGGGAGGGTCTTAAACACAGATCCTACAAAACTGCTTTAAAAAAAAAAAAAAAAGGAGGGAGGGTTCGTTTCATACTGACAGATGTTATCTTTGAGAGATAATTTTTTAAAAGGGTACAGAAGAGTCCTTGTAAACAGAAGATCATTTATATACATTATCTCCAGAAAAAAACATAGTAAATGAACTTGGTGTTGGTGTTTTGGGGAGGAGCCCCCAGGGACTGGTGGACAGGTGGGAACACCCCATGCCCTTCCCCACTGCTGAATTTCATCATGCTATACTACTTTTGATGGTGGGGGTAGGAGGGAGGTTACTGCTTTCCAAAAAAAAATAAAAAAAAAAAAAAAAAACAAAACCCCACACAACAGATTTCTGACCCTGCTTTGGGACGGGGGTGTAACAGGATCCTGATCGCGTGGGCAGCAGAGCCCTGTGTAGCCTCACTGCCCAGGGAGCTTTCTGACTGGGTAGCTTACCTACCTGCTATTTCCACTGAACCAACCTTTGGTCTTTTGTCAAAACTTTCTCTCCAAATACTCCCTACAGATCTGTGTGTGGTAGAGGGGTGAGAGATTAAGAGTTCCTAGAGAGACTACAAACACAGATTTACATCTCCGAGACAGATGTTCCTCCTGTCCCGCTGCCTGTCCCCTCACTGTCCTACGTGAGGCTGCAGTTCGCCAATGAGCCACGAGGTCAGCAATGCCTTACCAGTAAGAGCTAACTTACCAGCACTCTCTCATCACAAAAGATTTCTGCAGTCATCTTTAAGTTAGCAAAGGCCCTAGCGCAAAGTCCTTCTTCACTCTTGAGCTGGGAAAAGGATGACCTGAGCTGACAAAGTCGTCTAGTTAAACTCTCCAAGCCTGGCAGGGCGCGGCTGAACCAATTTGTGTGTGGCCGGACTTACCGCTAAGGGGAGTCTGTTCAAGATTCTGAGAATATTTCCAGGTTGCTATCTGCCCCCTTTCCAAGCCGGCAAACACTCATTCTTTCTTCTACTTGGGGGATTACCCCATCAGTAAGCAAGTGTTTTCTAAATGCCTACTGCATACAGGGCCTTGAACTTGCCTGTTATCTTAAACACCCGTAAACCCTGGAGCTGCTCTGAGCTCACGGAGCTTAAGACAAAAATCTGGTGCCACTGCGCCACCTGGAGGTTACATCAGAGTTTGGAAAACAACAGCGACCCACATGAACGGGTTCTACTTCAATCAAGTATTAGTAAGAAAAAAGGGTATTATTAAGAGCCAGGCTTCCGTCTTCCCAATGAATAACATTTCCTCTTTTGATGATCACACTGACGTGCTCTCTCTCTTGGCAGCGGACACGGCTACATGATCGTGTCTGTCCAAATTCACAAGAGTGGTACTCACCTAAAAGAGGGTGAATTTTATTGTTTGAAAATTATGTTAATACACCAACTTTTTGAAATGCCCACTGGGTTGACAGGTAAGTCGCAAAGACAACTACTTCCTGCCCCACCCATCTGGGGCTCCAATGCGGGGTCCCTGTCAGTGAGGCAGCTGCTGCCGCGGGACAGATGTGGCCAGCCTACTCCCCACCCCCACATTTTCTTAAATTTATTCCCAGGAACTTGATTTTTAAAAACTTTTTATCACGGAAATTTTCAAACATACACAAAATTAAAGGTCATGGTCCCAAGTACCGTGAACCAAACTCTCGATTTCTTAAATATTACCATTAAGTGGTATTTTTTTTAAATGTCATCTGCAAAGTATGGGGCCAGCACATAGCAATATAATTGATTTTAGAATGAAAGTTTAAAATGTATTTGGGCAAACACCCCTGGACGCAAGAAGGAAGTGAAAGGTTTAATTGCAGCTACTCAAGCTCCTTGGCAGATCCGCCTTCCTCACCACAGAGTGGCAAACGAGGCAGTGTGTGTTGGTGCCTTTATATAATCGAAGGCAAACACTGAAAAGGTCATTTTCCAAAAACTAGATTCAAAGTGGGGGGTTTTTTTTGGTGAGTAAAGACTAAAATTAAAATCTTTGTGGCACCAACTGATATATAACCTACAAAATAAAAAGAAGTATTTGAAATCCTAAAAAAGTCATTTTTGAAAAGACTAAAATCATATACTGCTACCTGGAACATCCCTTAAACCCGCCCAAACTATTCTGAATAATGAAGATCGGAGTTCTTCCTGGATACTTTACACAGGAGGCCACCGACGGCAGCAGGGACACTGCGGCGGGCTTGACGCCAACTCCTACCAGCTGCACGACCTTGAGCAAATCACTGCACTTCTCAGCCTCAGTTTCTCACTCTGTAAAAAGGTGGAATGCTACCAGCTTTGTACCTGCCAAGACTCAAAGACAGCCTGTACGTGAAGCTCTCAGGGAATGACAGCTATTCTTATCCCCAGCTGTGGGTTAAATGGGTCTAGCTAAAAATTAGTTCATGCCTTAAAAAAAAAAAAAGGGGGGGGGCCCAATCATACTTAACAACCCAGAAGGTTCCAGTGCTCCAAGCCACCGTTTCCAACCAAAGGGCTGCGAGATTAGAGGAAAACGGCCTAAGCTGAGCAGAAAGGCACCTTGGGCAGCGGCGTGGAGGCGCCAGGTGCCGACGAGGGGAGCGAGCACGCGCTCTGTGCGGCACTGCTGCTAGCCCTGGCTCTCCGCACGCTGCGGGCGGGGGGGGGGGGGGGGGGGGGTGCGGGCGGGCAGCGCTGTAAAGGCTGGACTCTGGGACCAGAAGCCTGCAGGAGTCTCCTGGCACCGCTTCCAGCAAGGAGAAATCAGAGATCTAAGTTAAAGCTTGAGGTCCCAGACATCGAGATGGACCATTTTTGAAGCAAAGATTCTCAAATGAGGATAAGCCCGTCCCCGGCAGCCTGGAAGCCCCAAGGGGACCTGCGCTGGGGGACAGGGGGTGGGGTGGCCAGAAGCCCCAACGGAACCCAGCTCCAGCTCTCCTCTCTGCAACCGCCAACTCCCCTTCCTTCCTGGTGCCGAGGAGAGCGGTGCCCCTTGACAAACGAGACTACTGCTAGACCGAGTACGTCCCAGGGAGACAGCGCGCAGCCCCGCCACATTCCTTCCACCCCGCTACCCTGGCTCATCCTCGAGCTGCTCCTGAGAAGTCTCAGGGCGGGTGGCGGACGACAACAAAAATAACAACTTGTGGCTGACCTAACCACTTTTAATTCTCATCTGGCCAGATCAGAAGTTTCCAAAGGGCTAACTACAGGTAACAGAAAAGGCAAAGCGGCTGTTCATTTAATCTGGAACAAGAACTGGCCACATTCTGAAGTATTTAAAAAAGGACAGTCACCCCCCAATACAAGGACTTCTTACACTCGTGCCCCGCCCCGTAACTGATTTACTTACTCCTAACCGATTCTCTAGGCTCGGTGCGGCACGAACCCGAGCCAGTCTTTGGTTAGTTCCAAGCCCAGTGCAGAAGCCCCTCACCCCAGCACACGGAGGAGAGGGAAAAGCAGCCAACACGCTACCCCAAGCCGACAGCTGAGCCACGGGGTACAGGTGGAAGAAGGAGGTTCTGTGCATCTTTACAAGAGAAGACGGGGTCTGGCCCACAACAATTTGCAACTTGGTGCCTCTCTTGTCTTCAGCTTTGAGTCCCAGTCACCACGGCCAGGGACTCCAGAAAATCCTCTTCAGCGGTTGGTTCTACACATTCTCAAAATGCAAAGACCTAACAAGAGAGGCCATTCCAGGCTCCAGTCTCTCTCAGCACCGCCACTGTCCAATTAGAGACGTGACAGTTTTCTGTGATCTGTTCTAGGATTGGGGGGCGGGGGGGGTGTATAACGGAGATGAGCAGGAGAGCAACCCCCCCCCCCCACTTTGTATACACTGTCGGGATGAGCGAGATCTCATTCCGTTCGGTGCACAAAAGGCAACCTTTACAGAATGATCAGAAAAGACACACACACTACATTCAGATGATTATGGAAAGAGATCGCCTACTGTGGACCCTAATTGGGTGCGGGGATCACGTTTCCTGCTCTTTGAGTCCAAAAGAGCAGCTTCAGGACCAAGGAGAGACTTGCAGAGTCAGGCCAACAAGTTCTCTGAACTTCAACGACCATCAACTTTATGCCCGCTTTTAGGCCACGGCTTATTAGCACTGCCTCTCTCTTCAGGGGGTTTCTGATTATCTTTTCCTTTTTACAAAACTCTTCTCCCAAACCACCAAGACCTTCTGGCTTCTTACTCATTCTGTGCGCTGCTCAATGAACTGGACTTCTCCTGAACAAAGCCCCACAGCTCACCGACTGTCTGTTCTCAACTGAATGGGTGTCCAGCCTGCCGCAGAGCTGCCCTCCTAATTTTCTGGTTCACCAGATTCTTCAGGAAGGCTTCCTTTTGATGTGCGTCCTCGTCTCCCTGAAGTATATCCTCCAGTAACCCCCTCAGACAGGGTAAGTGTGACATAAAACGAATCCTTAGGTGTCTACAGTGGCCACTTTCCTGCCCTGTATTTGACTGACAGCTCTGCTCAATCAAGAATGCTGTTTACAGAAACTCTGCCTTACAACTCTCAGAACCTGGCTCCACCGTCTTCTAATTATATACTGCAGGTCAAGAAAAGTCTCATTCAGATCAGGTAGGGTTGAAGGCAGCCCTGAGGCAGGCGCAAAGCCACTTGGGAAACAAGCAGAAGCTTCTTTCTATTTGCCAACAGTGACACGCACCTCCCGAGTGCAGGGCTGAAACCCCAGATCTTCTATTCAGGAAACTGGGGACAAGCTTTCAGATCAGCTGCCCCAATTCAGCAGTGAGGGTAAACAACGCCAAGGGTCACCACACCTAGTCACGTCTGCTCACTACCCCCAGGTTCCTGCTCTCTGCGAAATCCCGCCCCAGCCCTCGGCTCCTACACTGAAATCATTCCGCAGCAGTAACTCAGAGAAATGGGCCCCGTCCCTCTCCTGGACCTTCTGAGCATGCCCTTGGCTTCTGTGATACCGTCTGCACTTCCCTAAGGCACCGCGGTTTGTCTGAATGAGCCCTGTGTCCTGCTGCTGGTTCCCTCAGCTGCCGATCGCAGGGTCATCCCCAGACTGTCCTCTCCGAAACCGCCGTCTCCACACCATGGACGGCCACGCCGCTCTCAGCCACAGCCACAGTGCAGATGAGTTAGCCCTGACTTACCTCCTGACACCTCCAAGTCCAACAGGGATGACTAACACCTAAAACCCAACAATGTCCACCCTGAGCCCCAAACCAGCAACCCTCTTCCAATCTCACGCCAGTTGAAGCTTCGCAAGGCACTGAGCTTCCATTCTAATTCCCCCTCCTGGAGACACACAGCTGGGGTGGTTCTCCATCTCTTCCACCATCTCCTGACACCCTGATCTCATTTATTCTATCTGTCTGGCCACTGCAATCCCGGCTCAGGCCTTCAGGACCTCTCGCACTCGCTGTCTGTGCCTGCGCCGACCCAGCCTGGAGAGAGCAGACATATTATTCCCTCCACATCAACCTGACCGCAGAGCCTCGCTCGACTGTTCGCACCCTCCGGCGGCTGTCCGTCGCGCACTAGAAACATCCACAGATGTGGGGCCAGTATTCAGAGAACTCGGTGATCTCTTACACTTCAACTATCTTCCTATAGGCAGGCATCCAAATTCCCAGCCAAACCTACTTATTCTTCTCGGAGCGCACACCAAATGGGTGTGGAGCATCTCCCTTTCCACTGTGCTCACGCCACACTAGCATTAGGCCCACCATGGACACCCCCTAATCCCCCCACCTCAGTGTTTTTCAGGGCTCAGGTCAGACGCCATCCCCTCTACAAGGCTTTCCTTGACTCCTGCCTTCCACAGCTCTATCCATGGGGACTGCAGCCTCTACCCTCGATAAACTCCAAAGACATTAACAAGAGATGACTAACTTTAAAAACACACGACAATACTAAACACTGGCATGCAATTCGACTCAATCTGCCCCAAAACTCTAACCTCACTGCTGATTCTATCTACAGATTCCGTTTTTATTTGTACGGGGGTTGCGGGGGGGGGGGGGATCATGGAGTTACATAGCATACCCGTACTTAAAATATGAAAGCCAACAAAAGCTGGGAGACACAATGTCATGAACAAAAGGACAGAAGCCTTAACATTTTTTGTTCAGCCGTGGTCAATCAGAAATAAATTCAGGTGTAGTTTCCCTATGGCCGCAGTTTCACAGGATAGGAGAAGAGGACACAAACCCCTTTGTTATAATACCCCTGACTCTGACACTTGGAGAAACTGAGGCTCCAAATGGCAGGAAGTCACCCACCTTGTTTTTCTTTTTTGGCAGGGCACACTCCAGGGCCTCCAGCTCTTATCTACTCCACTCTGCTCGCAAGACAAAGACAGACAAGGGCGCCCCTGCTCTGTTTCTAGATGGGTGGGATCACAAAGAGGTCTCTCTTCCTCATCCTGCCCTTGCCTAAATGTCCTGGCTATTCCAGGCTCTGTGCAACCTGGAGGGGTGGGGGGGGGGGGGGGGGGGGTGGGGGTGGGCAAACTCATCCGTCTGCCCCAGAGCTGATGAGTTCATTTCACATTTTATTGAAAACAGTCTCTGAGCGTGTTCTCACGTCCTCACAGAAACTGCCCAACAGTGCTGGGGAATAAATACTACAAAAGGGGAGAGAGGCTTCCGCGGGAGCCCTGCCTGCCTCAGGCAAACAAGCCTCTGGACCTTCCCGACTGCCCACCTTGGTCGGTCACAGGGGCCTCCACCATAAATATTTGATCTCTTCCTGTCATGCCCGCTTCAGTGAGCCAAAGCCCAGGAGCGTAAGTGATGACACGCTGGAAAAGGATCTGAGGACTCCTTCACGGTCAGCTCTGCCCACCCGGCACCGAGCCAGGCCCCCGCGGCTTGCTCCAGCTCACAAGGCGTCCAGCTGGTGTGAGGACCCCCATTTCCAATCAATCTCTGTGCAATTTTATGTATTCACAAGCAATTATGAGCTACGGAATTAAGAAGCATTTGCCTCACCTCACTGTCTGCCAGGATCTAAAATGGGGCCACGCACATCACTAGCAGAGTTACCCCCACAAACAAAACGAACTGCTTTTGTTTTCCCAAGTTTCCCCAGAGCAAGACCACCAGCTACCATGGTAACTCATGCACAAGGAACATAGCTGCCGGCTCTCAAGTACTTTCTATAATTAGAAAGAAAGGAAAGTTCTGAGGGCTTACCTAGCGAATTCTGCCAGTTGTTTGGGGTCTGAGAGGTCAATGCCAGGTATCCCTCCAGGAGGAAGCTTCTTCCCTGTCATATACTCTGAATAATCAGGAGGGGAGTTCTCTCCAATGATCTGCTCTTCAACCACTGTCTCATGGTCAATATCTTTTTTTTCATCTGAAACACACCATAAGATTATTTTAGTGGAGGAAAATGTGTATGTGGGCAAATACATTCAAAAACTATGAAATGTGCTTTCATTAGCAGCTTTGGGAGCAGATGATTTAGAGCTGCTAACCCAACTTCTTAACCACCCAGTCTCTCTCCTCAGTCTCCTGAAATCCTGTTTCTGCTTCAAGGTCACCAATATCTGCGATGCCAAACCCAGCAGACCTTTGCACTCGTGCTCCTCAGCCTGGCGGAAATGTTCCCCACTCCTGACTCGGCGGTCACTTGCCTGGTTCTGCTCCCACTTTTTGAACGGGCTCCTTGGCAAGCTTCCTTGCTTCTCCTCCCACCACTCCTCAGAGTTCTGTTTTCTGTCCACCCTACACATTTTCTGTTAGCCAGCAACACAGCGGCGCGGACTAGAGTCTGATGCCCCAGCCTCCGCCCTGCAGCCAGCCTCCTGCCTTGCCCTGCAGCCCTTCCTCTCGCGGCTCTCCCCTCACTCTTCCATCCCGCTCTGTGGTCTTTTCAGCTCTTCATGCTGATCCCATGACTCGTACGCAGGCAAGTTACAATCACAGCAATGTGATTTTCGTTGGCCTCTCCCACTAGACAGTACGTGCCACGAGGACAGGAGTGCTTGTCAGTTTTGATCCCCAGGTATCCCCAGAGCCTGGTGCAGTCCGCACAGAGCTGGCCCTCAACAGACGCGTGTTCAAGGAATGCAGGACATCTCTACTTGTACGGCTACTGTCACAAATCCAACAGGCTAAAAAAAAAAGGGATATGGATCCCCGTAATTAATCTCCTACACCCCAAACACCAAATCCTATTGGTTTTCAGAACGTCTTCGCCCTTTGTCCCACTGCCATCAAGTTAGCTCTTAGTATCTCATACCTCAACGACTAACGTAATTTCTTAACTTACCTTCCCCATTCTGTTCTCTGCCGTAATGACGCTATAAAGGACCAACTGATACAGAAAATGCAGCTGATATATTTCCACCTCCTACGAACCCTTCAGAAGTGTAAATTACACTTGGCCTCCTGGGCCTCCTGGGCCTCCTGGGCCCCCTGTGCCCGGGTCCCGTTTACACGGCTAGCCCGGCCTTCCATTTCTCCTAGGCAGGAGCCCTCCACAACACAACCAGGCCGTGCTCCTCCCAGGGCTTGTTGACTCTGCTGCTCTGGCCTCAGCTTCTTACCTTTTCCTTGAATTCCTACATTAAGTCTTGATCACGACACCGACAAACTAAATCATGCTGTGCTGAATTTTGGGTGGCCCTGCCTCTTACGCTGGGGTCGAGTGCCCAGAGGCCCAAACTGGTTGGTCTACAACTATGCAGTGCTGAAAGCAGAAAATAAAGACGCTCCAAAGTGTTCCCTGCTGACTGAAATGTCCTGCTTCTCCAGGAAAATGTTTCACAAAGGGCAGGAACAAACAGGACTTTCTGAAGTGAAAATTGGCTTGTTCAATTCTCACCCTTCCACCAGTGTTTAAAAAAAAAAAACAAAACAAAACAAAAAAAAAAAAACCAAGAGTAAAGGGGCGTCTGGGTGGCTCAGTCAGTTAAGCATTTGACTCTTGATTTCGTCTCAGGCCATGATCTGAGGGTATCAAACCCTGCATGGGGCTCCGTGCTGAGCGCGGAGTCTGCTGGACATGCTCTCTCCCCCTCCACCTCTGCCCCCATGTGCACACGCTCTCTCTCCCTCAAATAATTCTTAAGACAAAAACAAAACACAAGACCAAAACCAACCAAACCAAACCCTACAAGGGACATCACAAAAAATGATGTCTAGCTGCTTATCATCAGGTTCTCTGACATCAGGGTACAACGGCAAGTTAAAGACAAAATGTTGGGGTGTCTGGGTGGCACAGTCAGTTAAGCCTCTGACTCCTAGTTTCAGCTCAGGTCTCGGGGTTGTGAGACTGAGCCCCGTGTCGGGCTCCGCGCTCAACCCCGCCAAGTAAATAAATAAAAAAAAAAATTTTTTTTTTTAATTTGACAGAGATCACAAGCAGGCAGAGGCAGGCAGAGAGAGAGGAGGAAGCAGGCTCCCCACTGAGCAGAGAGCCTGATGTGGGGCTCGATCCCAGGACTCCGAGACCATGACCCAAGCCGAAGGCAGCGGCTTAACCCACTGAGCCACCCAGGCGCCCCAATAAATCTTTTTTTTTTAAAAAGGGCAGAATGTAGGTTCATTTGATTCAAGTGGTCATTATGTTCAATCACGCAGATGAAAAACAAAGAACAGGATACTTTTTCTTTTTTAAATATTTTATTTATTGGACAGACAGAGATCACAAGTAGGCGGAGAGGCAGGGAGAGAGGGGGAAGCAGGCTCCCTGCTGAGCAGAGCGTCCGATGGGCTCTGAGACCTCTGAGACCCAGGGCTCTGAGACCATGACCTGAGCTGAAGGCAGAGGCTTAACCCACTGAGCTACCCAGGTGCCCCGGGCTTATGATACTTTTAAATTATAAATGTCTCTCCTCCCACCACTCATTTATTTTTCAAAAAATTTATTTTAAGTCATCTCCTACACCCACTGTAGGGCTGACCCTGAGATCAAGAGTCGCCCGCTCCACCAACTGAGCCATCCAGGACCGCCCCCTCATTCTGGAAAACGTTACACGTCACTGCCAGGAATCAGAGGGCAGCAGCATCGCACTGAATGGTTACTGGGCAGGCGGTTTTCATTACCGCGCACAGCGCCCGAGAGGTGGCAAACTCGCAAGTCCACCCTGCGCGGGAGAAAACAGAGGCCCAGACAGGCGGTGCAGCTCGCTCTGGGCTAATAACTAGTCAGCCAGGGGCCTCGTGAACACAGGAAGCCTTCCTCCCGGCCCCAGGTCCTTCGCTGTCAAGCCCAGCGGCCTTCAGTTCCGAGCCAGAATGATCTCTACATCCCGGTAACCTCCGTACAGACGACACAGCCCAAGGAAACACAGCAGATCATTCACGAAGGGCAGGAAACGTGGTTATCGTTTGTGACAAATGTGGTTAGCGTTTGTGACAAGGCCAGGACTCTGCACTGTAACCAGGTTTTCTCTCGGGGCTGCGGTGATCCCCTCACCCTCCAGCCTTCCCCTGAGGAGCAACTACCACCACGTCGCCTTCCAGGTGCTCCAGAAATGCTCGGGCGGGCGGGGAGCTGTTTTTCCGCCCTGACTTTGGGTACTTCCGACGGAAGAATGGAAGCAAGGCGGAGGGCCCCTGCCTCTGCGAGGAAGCTGTGATGAGAGCCGCGTCTCCAGTAAACTGGGACACATTCCGGGATTACCGACTCACAGACCAGGGGCGCCACCGGCTGCCTTCGGCTCAGTCATGATCCCAAGATGCTGGGATCGAGCCCCGAATGAGGCCCCCTGCTCTGCAGGAAGCCTGCTGCTCCCTCTCCCACTCCCCCCTGCTTGTGTTCCCTCTCTCACTGCATCTCTGTCAAATAAATGAATAAAATCTTTAAAAAGAAAGAAAAAGGGGGGGCTGCCTGGGTGGCTCAGTGGGTTAAGCCTCTGCCTTCAGCTCAGGTCCTAATCTCAGGGTTCTGGGATCAAGTCCCACATCAGGCTCTCTGCTAGGCAGGGAGCCTGCCTCCTCCTCTCTCTCACTCTACTTGTGATCTCTCTTTCTGTCAAATAAATAAAATCTTTAAAAAAAAAAAAAGAAAGAAAGAAAGAAAGAAAAAAAGGGATCACAGGCTAGCTCACACTCCCTGCAGTTCAACACCTATTAACCGAGGGACTCCTCGCCTGGCACTGTGCCAAGGCCCCAGAAACAAAACAAAGTCTCTGCCCTCAGGGAACTTTTATTCTAGTGGGCGAAGCTGTCTTAGCTCAGGCTGCCCTAACAAAATACCACAGACTGGGGGCTGTGACAAGAATTTACCCCTCACAGTCTTGCAGACTAAGGTGCCATCCAATTCAGTTCCTGGTAAAGGCGCGCTACCCTGGCTTGTCAACAGAACCTTCTTGCTGCGCCCTTCCATGGCGGGGAGACGGATCGTCGTCTCTGTCTCTTTTTACCTAAAAGGGCACTAATCCCACCAGGAGGGCTCCACCCTCGTAACCCAATTACTTCCCAAAGGCCCCACCGTCAAACACCTTCACGCTGGAGACTGGGACTTTAACTCATGAATTCTGGGGGGAAACAAACAAGTCAAATGAGGAAATGCTTCCTGAGGCTTGAGACTCAGTTCTTAGACTCAACGTTCAACAACGTCAAGCACCAGACACCAACGCCAGCACAGTCACCAACATCACCACGAACTATAATACGTGTATGGAGTGAGTCTAAGCAGAGACTGACAGGTTTTATGATCCCCAAGTACCGCCAGTGAGCCCGACCCAGCCTGACAACCTTCCCACCACCACTTATGGTTTCCTTCCTATTATTTTATTTTTTATTTACACACACACACACACACACACAGAAAATCTCAAGCAGTCTCTACACCCAGCACAGAGCTGATGTGGGGCTAGATGTCATAACCCTGAGATCATGACCTGAGCCGAAATCAAGAACTGGACACAACGTAACGAGCCTCCCAGGTGCCCCCTCCTTTCTACTGTTTAAACAAATTCTGGTTAAGCAGACATGAACATAATAGTTATCATTTCAACCATCTGTGAAATGTCCAATTCAGTGGCATCAGGTACACTCACAATGCTGTATACCCATCACCACCATCTATACCCGAGACTCATAGTCCCCAACAGAAACCCGGTACCCAGGGACGCCTGGGTGGCTCAGTTGGTTAAGAGGCTGCCTTTGGCTCAGGTCATGATCCAGCGTCCTGGGATCGAGTCCCACATCCGGCTCCTTGCTCGGCGTGGAGGCTGCTTCTCCCTCTGCCTGCCTGTGCTTGCTCTCTCTCTCCCTCTCTCTCCGACAAATAAGTAAATAAAATCTTAAAAAAGAAAGAAGCCCGGTACCCACTGCAAACCTGCCCCGCTCCCCAGTGGCCTCTATTCTACTTCCTGTTTCTACAAATTTGCCTACTCTAGG